TACAGTATTATATAATTGTCACACAATAAGCCACATCGCTCCGCTTTTCTTCAGCTCTACTCACGGAAAGTTTTTAAACCCCCTCGACACTCCTACAAATTTCTATACTATTTCTACATTCAACCAACATTTTGGACAGAATACCGTTATCATGCAGGCTACATATACCAGGATCGGCGATAACAATTCCAACTGCGGCAACATAACGAATAGTTACAACATAACGGGTAGTTTTAACAGAACCATCTATAAGTCTGACGAGGATGCGCAGATTCTGAGCTGGCTCTCTCCACTAGAGCCAAATATTAGACATCAAGGCGTACGCAGCGAGCGGTGTGATGGCGTCGGGGATTGGCTGTTGGAAACAAAAGAGTTTCGGGAGTGGAGGAGTAGCGAGGGTGAAGCCAATAAGACTGTCTTGTTTTGCTTAGGGAATCCAGGGGTAGGCAAGACATATCTCAGGTGAGAGCCGGAATTACTTGAAGGAAGCGAACATTGCTGACGGCTAGAAATACTAGTTCCCTGGTAATCGATAGCCTGTGCAATCGAGAACTGTTGGAGGGTGCCGCGGTCGCGGCATTGTACTGCGACTTCCTTGCACAGCAAGAGCAAACACCCACCACCATCCTGGGAGCTATCATGAAGCAGCTGGTAGTTAGAAGGGATATCCCGGGTTATCTACGCGAGGCGTTTTATGAGGAGAAAATGAAGGCTGATGGCAGAGGGTTGCGACTTCCGGATCTGATGGAAATGTTGAGGATTGCGATTGCTTCTCTACCGCAAGTTTTCATTTGCATAGATGGACTGGATGAACTCTTACCAAAGCATCTGCCAACGCTGCTCCAGTCGTTGAGAGATATTATTCGGGAGTCACCTAGCACACGAATATTCCTCACCGGGAGGCCCCATGTCAGGGAAGATATTCAAAGAAATTTCACCAACGTGGTTGTGATACCCATCACTCCTAATATGGATGACATTAGGAGTTATCTGGAGATGAGGCTGGAACAGGATGCTGATCCAGAGGCGATGGACGATGATTTACGGGCGGATATTGTGAGAATCACCATGGAAAGAATATCTGATGTGTGCGTAGGAGCATCTAGCATCTCCCCTCTATCAACGACATTATACTTATAATAAGTTGTATAGGTTCCTTCTTGTTTCGTTATACATCGACGCTATCTTGGGAGAGGTGACAGTTCGTCAGAGAAGAAAGAAACTTCAAGAGATCACACGAGGGGATGAACTCAGCGGTGCGTACTCGGCAACCCTAACGCGACTGAAGGCGCAGAAGGGAAATAAATCAATACTCGGAATGAAGGTCCTGATGTGGGTGTTATATTCGGAACGGCCATTACGAGCCGAGGAGCTCTGTCATGCCTTGGGAGTGGAGGTGGGGTCTACGGATCTGGATGTCAAAAACGCTCCCACATTACGCACTCTCGTAGCATGTTGTCTAGGTCTTGTCACAGTCGAGGGGTCCTCATCCACTGTCCGGCTGGTGCACTTTACTCTTCGAGGCCATCTCTTAAGTGATCCGACCCACTTTCATAGTCCCCACTCAGAAATTGCGGAGGTTTGCCTGACGTACCTTAATTTTGGATATGTCCGCGATCTTTGGCCAACACCTTTCTCGTCCCCTGCAACAACGCCACTTCTAGAATATGCTTCCTGTTACTGGGGAATGCACGCAAGAAGAGGGATGACAGAAAATGTGAAAATACTTTCACTAAAGCTTCTTAACGGATTTGACCAGCATATATCCTCCCAGATATTGTTATCGCACTATGATAAAGGGGACAGAAGACCGTGCGAGCCGCGTTTTGACCGGGTCCGGGGTCCTGAGGGTTTTACGGGGCTCCACGCAGCAGCTTATCTTGGGATTGCTGAAGTATTTGCTGCCTTATTGGAGATGAAGGAATGGGACTTGGACGCAATTGACGCCATGGGCAACACCGCACTACTATGGGCAGTGAGAGGGGGGCATAAGGAGATCACGAAGATAATGCTGACGAACGCGAATGTCAATCCCAACCTAGCGAACGTAAATGGCCAAACACCTTTCTGGTTTGCTGCGGAGACTGGGACTGAGGACATAGTAATGATGCTATTGGAGCGGGGATGTGCCTACGCCGATACTGCCGACCTCAGTGGCCGAACATCATTCTCGTGGCTGGCCGGCAACGGGTGTGAGCGAGCAGTAAAGGTGCTGTTGGAACGAAAGCTTGTCAACCCTGACCCGGCAGATTCCTGTGGTCGAACACCACTCTCGTGGGCAGCCGGGAATGGGTGTGAGGGAGTGGTAAAGGCGCTATTGGAGCGAGAGGATGTCAGCCCTGATCCAGCGGATTCCTGTGGCCGAACGCCACTCTCGTGGGCGGCCGGGAATGGGTGTGAAGGAATAGTAAAGGCGCTATTGAAACGAAACCATGTCAACCCTGACCCGGCGGATTCCTGTGGCCGAACGCCACTCTCTTGGGCGGCTGGAAATGGGTGTGAAGGAATAGTAAAGGCGCTATTAGAACGAACCGATGTCAACCCCGACCTGGCGGATTCCAGCAGCCGAACACCGCTTTTGTGGGCTGCCTCCAGGAGGCACGAGCGAGTTGTGAAGCTACTCTTAGAGCGCAGATATCTCGCCCCTACCACCCCCACCCACACTGCCCGATTCTCCCTTCGGATAGCGATTGATACGTGTTTCCTCATTACTATTTTCTTCTTTCTTTTTCTTTCCTATCTTATTGTTTCATAGTCAGAGATACATGTGGAGTTTGTGAAGGTAAAACCTTCCTGAGTCCTGCCTTTAAGCAACCAAATGCAGGAGTGAGTCACAAGAAATGAACGAGGGCGTTATTTTCGTCACCATTCTCAATTTTACCATGAAAGTCTGATGTTTATTTTCTCTCTTTGCGCCCCCCCTCCCGGCTTGTAAAAATATGAAGCATTATTGGCATGTGCATCGCCTTTCCGCTACAATTACCCTGGACTCCCACCTTTCTGAAGTATACTTCCTCTATGAGAAATGTATTGAAACAGATCCTATATAAGTACTCTAGAAACCTAGTAGCGCAGAGCACCACTACAGCATCACGGGTAGACCTCAACTACTGTTGCAATTCTATATTCTGCATCCCCGGCACCTATAACAATTTAGTTGCTCCACCAGCCACTAAGCCTGTATCTCTCTCTAATCTTCATTCTTAAACACTTTTAGATGCTCCTCAAGACACTTTCTCCGTCCCTGAAAATCCTCACCAACGTTTGCATAATTGGCAAAACTAATAGATATTGATCACCATCTACTTTCCTAAAGGTACGACAGCTAGGGGGGGGGGGCACAGAGTGTGATTTGCCCTTGCTGCCCTTATTAGCCATCACCTTTGCCACTCCTCTCCCCCGACCTCCCCCCAGACCGGAGAAGTACTGTACAGAGAGCAATTAGCGAGGATATCATATAAATAATTGGAATAGCGATTACTAAAGGGGTGGGTACGCACCTCTTCAAGCGAATTTTCTTTTTTGTGTAAGCAGATTAGATGGCTGCTCAACTCAGGTTCACAGCTGCTATGGTGGCCTGTGCAATGTCTTTGTGGATGTGGGTCGAGTATTGAGTATCATAGCAGGTAATCACTGATGGAGTACTCCCATCGTGGGATGGTATTAGTATCAGGTTGGGGCACTGTGAGGCCGGCACTGGGAGCACTACTTTGGGTAACACACGCAGGTCGGCTGTTAGCCACTGGAACATGTAAGATACTTAGCAGAGTGTCGTTCTTTCCTTTCTCTCCGAGCCCCCCTCCTGTACCTATCATCGAACAATGAACATTCTCCACTCTCTGTGAAGTCCCGCAAGCTCCCATCACCACCGGGTGACTAGTCCGTCTGCGCTACAATAATACTCCAACCACAACATATGGCTGGTTTTGGCGTACGTAACCATGAAGTATCACACATTCCCCATAAAGATAGTTTACCATTGGGCTGACAATTCAATTTGGCCCCGGCACTATTCTTCACTCTCGAACTGCCCACATTACACAATGATCCACTAAATCCCAATAACACGCACGAAGAAGTAGCGAATCTTCGCAGCGCAGGCTGAACAGTCACCCGGTGGTTATGAGGAATTGCGTGGGCTTAATGGAAAGTGGAGAGTGATGGCAAGGAGAGAGTATGTTAGTTGTTCAATATTACGTATGATACAGAAGAAAGACTTTGAAAGAAAGGAAAGAATGAAGCTCTGCTAAGTACATGTTGCGGTAGCAAACAGCCCACCTGTGTGCGTTACCCAAAGAAGCTCTCCCAGGCCTTTTTAGTTAGTATTAGAGTCAAAGATCAAGGAATTTACATTCCTTATCACACCTTTCTCTTCCTCCCTCTTCTCAGTCCCAACCTAGTCTATTTACTCTGCCTTCTTCCCAATTGGGCGTATTAGCAAACCTGAAAATATTGGCAGGACTAAATCGGGAGCCTTTAATTATAAACATAAGCTGTAGGCTTTTCTATCTCCTCTTTTCCAGAGCTCCTACTCGGCTGCACCAGTTAATAGAATTCCTGGGGAGCAATGATTAACCAACTCGGAGCATTTCACTACATAAGGTAGTAGCACACTGTACATATCAACAATCTCAAGTTTATTGGTTTAACAAAATTCGTCCTCTATTTAAGGCCCAGTAGGTGCTTCCCACCAGGGTAATATATCACTGGATCATTCTGATTAAGAAGACTTCCCACCTTCCATGATCTATGGGATGTGGAGTGAATTATGGAAGATAGGTTGGCGTACTGCGTAAAGGTGTTTTCCCACAGGAAGTAATGTGGGTAGGAAATTATTGAGGAGCCCAGGAGCCATGATACACTCCCATTCTAAGTACAGTAATAGTTTACAGAAAAGGGAAGGGCAGAAAATAAGCCATCTAATGGTAGTGATATATTACATGACAATCTACAGGTGAGAGATGGAAACCGATAGAAAGTAAAGTACAGAAGGAGAAAGAGAAAATTAGAAACTATGCTCCACGGATTACTAGAGGATCCTCGGTCGAGCTTTTAGTCACCCACTTTTGTATATCCGGCTCCTGTATCCAGATCCATGAAATTCTGCCCGCCCCGACTCCACTTATAGAATTGGCCACCAATGTGACGACAATGAGATGGCCAACAAGGCAAAACTGATACGAACAAGGCAACCAAAGAGATAAATTGGAAAAGTAAGGATCGCACGATAATCAACCACATTTGTAAGTATGAACGAGGATTCGGGGGACGAGCGTCAGGCTTTGGGTGAAAGCAAAGCCGGTAGGAATAGATGAGAGGGAGCTTGGGGTAGGTTAGACAGTTCAGCTTGGGACGCTCTAGAATTTTATCTATGCCTGTTAGGGTGAGAAGGGAGTACTCGCGCCCTGAGAGTCACATCACAAATTCCCGCATGCCCCCACGAAGCAGCTAACGAACTTGCTATTTGGCTGTTAGTGTCCATTGTCAGGGGTGTTCAAATCCTTCCCTTCACAGCACCTTGACCACTCCTTCGTGCCCACTCCCAACCACTCACAGGCATGGCTCCGGGCCACGGTCGGTGTCTATATCGCTAGTATTGGTACCTCCCTACCCAAAAGCATCGTAACTATGTGGACAAAATCTCTCGCAATGTTGCCCTCGATATGAGGGATATTCACACCCTTGGTGGCTGCGGCAGGATATTTCCAAAACCGGAGATGATCCGGTAGGTACCGAGATGGCACTGGTCCAAAGCGTCGATATGGATAACAACCAAGAGTAGAGATGTCCTAGTGCATTTCAGCATCCCTACTAGATCTGGAAGTTGTATATCTCAACCATACAGCTCCAACTTTGCCTTTGAAGCACTGCTCGCACATGTCCTGGCAGCCCCCCCGGACCGCCGGCTGCTGAACATACCCCGTCATCTTCGAAGTTGCTTGTTGCCGTTGGTCGGAGAAGCAGCAGCACAACCCAGTGAGAGCAATACCCCCTCTGTCGGGTGCAACACATAGGGTATCCATCACTAGGGGGCCAGTATTTCTGGCCATCAGCTATAATTCCCGCGCTTCAGGAAATAGATTACCGGTAATCACCTTAGACATGTCTCCCCCGCTCCAAGGGCCCCGTCACAGAACAAGATAGCCCTTTTGGCTCCACCCCCTCACCACCCCTCAAGCCCCCCAAATTCTCAATTTCCCAAATCAACTCCCCAAACCGCCGAGCTTGCCGGTGCGTGTGTCCCAATGCCTTTTCCAAGGCTCCCGTGGTAAGTGACTCCATGGTCTCCCGATTCTTATTGGCAACGACTCTGTTGACATCAAAAATGTTGTTATGTTGACCGGCCACGGATGTGCCATACGAGCATGATGATCTCTCTGAAGTGCTGGTTGAAGTAGAAACGCTGCGGCGATAAATTTATCTACGGAGGCGGTAGCGGAAGGTTTACTCCGAAGCAACCGAGCTGAATGTGGGACATGCGGCTCTTTGTGTCACAATTCCCATTCGGCAAAACCATCTCTCTCAGCCAAGCAACCGCGCTCTCACGAAAAGCCGCGACACCTAAGCCCAGCATCCTAGAACCCCACGTTGACACCTTACGATATCGCAATCAGATCCAATGCCTATTAGGAACAAAGCCAGGTCTAGAGCAATCGACGCCCTCGCACTCGCACACGGTCAACAGGGAAGGATCCCCGGGTTCGCCCTCTTATTCCCTCGATCAAACCTCTACTCGAGTAGTCGGCATGCTCGCACAGACGCAGGAAAAGAAGGAACAAAATGAAGGAACAAAACAAAACAAACCACCGCCGCAGCCGTGTCCCTAGAATACGTTCGTGGCTGCCTTTCCCCGTCAATCTGGACGCCAGGAGAGGGGAAGCGAGGCGCAAAAAAAGACGCTTCTATACTTCTCGGGAAATTTCTCTCCCACAACCTCTGACAACAGTCAACTCACAACCCCGGTAGAATACCAACTATATTTACAAGCAGGGGATCTAAATGGGAGTATGCACAAAAAGTGGCAAACACATTTCCGTCCCCACACAGTATCATACTACCAGTATACCGAATAGGACAGTAGGTACTTTAGCTCTCAATCTATGTTCTTGGCTACCCTTGAATTATCCGTGCCGGATAGACTCGAGACGAATCAATCGCGTTAAATAATGACAATAAGATACTTGAGTACCCGCACGAGCATCCCCTGCCGGCAGCCGGAACCAGAAATCCGCCACATAATCTGCACATCCTTTCCCGGAATCCTCCACAATCTCTGCGACCTACTTTCTGCGGAGTACCGGGATACGCAAAAGATTGTCGAACTCGGCTCTGATCTAACTACCTGACATAGATGAATTATGGTGAAATATGAGGCAAGACACTTCATTTACACCAACGTTTCCTGTAGGGGAAAGTCAGTCCAACTCTCGCCTCACTCGCTTGAGCATAAAGTCTGCATTGAGTGATGGAGACCCCATGAGGCAATGAGAGGTATCGGGAGACTAGTTCGGCAGACTCTCTCCTCTATCGCCCTTCTGTAGTCAGTTCGGCAAGCTGCCCTAGGACACCGTACTCAAGTACAGTACCAATAGTGCCCCGACATTCTGTTAGTGATGTGGCGCCGCAAACGCTCGCCAAAGGAAATGCTGTGCTGCACTAGTGCACGGCGACAAAAAAACAGACCAAGTTCGAATCTCAACCTCTGGTAAGTTGGCACTCTGTTTAGATTTTGGCCTTGATATTGACAAGCACTGGACAAAACGGCGCGTAACCACCCAAGTTAATACAGCGAAACCTCCATTAACTCCACCCTCCAATATTCCCGGGGTTCCAGTGATTCTCTCCCTTGTACGAGTAGAGAGACAAGTTCTATTCCATAAAAGTTCCCCTTCTAAGTTCTAGGATTCTATTTGTTCTTCTCCCTAGGCTATAAATATACCCAAATTCTAGAGATCCATTACTAGTAGTGTGAGAAAAAATTTCGCATTACGATTCCTTTGAGGGGGGAGCTTCCGACAGGTTTTCAGGGGATAGATTTTCGGAAATGAAAACCATGAAAATCCCAACTTTTCCGCTCCTATGTACCACACTCTTATTGTGAAAAATAAAAAAACTCCTCTCCAATTAACATGATAGAGTTGAATGGATATGTAAATTCAGAGTGAAGGGCCAAGCAAGATTGAATCCATAAACTAAAGGATTTCTTCTTCTCCTTTCTTTCCTCATCCTTGTGTTGGAAACTAGGTGTGCGACTATGATACCATAAATTATCACTTGTTTTTTTTTGTTTTTTTGGCAACCCCCATTCGACCAAGCCCATTCCCTAGTTTCCATTCTTTTGCTTCCAAGAGATCCGGTCTCCCAAAGACCTGGAGATAACGGAGGTTTCACCATACAAGATAGACTCCGTACCAAAAGCCTTCACCATACCTTCTGGGGAGTTAAAAAGAATTTAGCGGGCGTTATGTATGAGTTTCGCCTACTTTTTCCATTTGCCTACTCGGATAAACCCCCATCTCCTGCTCACGGGAATCGCGCTCTGGTCCGACGAGGATCTCTCACCAAAGTCGCTGAAACCCTAGGTGGGGTGATGGCCCACAGGACCCTTGGGGTTCTCTAGTGGTCGTGAGGTATTTTGGAAGTGGGAAGATTTACCACGCGATAGACCTGATCGCAGCCTCATTGCCGATATTCGTTGGTATTGTCCGGGGACAAAATTAACTAGCTCTCAACGGCAATGGCAACGCTCCCCTCCTCATCACCTCGCTCCCTCAACACTTCCTAAAGAAATTGCTCTACACCAACCAAAACCAAACCAATTTACTTAATTCTTTTTTTCAATAAACTATGCCTCCTATTCTTTGCAGTCATGCCAAACAGCCTATTCCCTCCAAGCACCTTTCTGAGTTTACAAGGGGACAAATTCTCGGGTTACGCGAGCCTCAGATGACAAATCACCAAATTTTCCACTACTTTGACATTCCTCTCAGTACTGTTAAAAGCACATTTGCAAAGAGAGATCAAGAGGGCAAGGAGAATGAAGGTAGAGGAAGACATCCTAAAACTACCAAGTTGCAGGATGATGCTATGGTAGAGGAAGCTCTCAAAAATCGCCATACCAGCTACTCTGAGATTGCTGAGGGAGTCGTTCCCAATGTTTCTGCTAAGACTGTGAAGAGAAGACTTGCACAAAAGCTTCTTAAAAAGAGGATGGCATAAGAGAGGGTTCATTTGGATGAGGACCTAGCTCAAAAGAGATTGGAATGGGCATTAGCTCATAGAAATTGGACAAGGCAGATGTGGAGAAGGAAGGCAATGTGGGGGGATGAGGTAGCTGTGGAGAGGAGAGGAGGAAAGAGAAGAAAATGGATATTTAGATACCTAAAAGAAAAGTGGAATAAGGATTGTGTTGAACCTACTGCTAGAAAAGGAGAGAGAAAGATTAGTCAGATAATGACTGGTTGTTTCTATGGTCAAACTCATGGTCTTTTTTTACCTGTTTTTCCTGATCCTACTTCTGCTGGAGGTGGAGTGACTGGAAAGTCAATTATTGATGTTTATGATCAATATGGCTTTCCAGAGATATGGGAAGATATCAAGGAGCATGTTGGGGAGGAAGAGGTATTTTTGATCATTGACAATGCTAAGACTCACTTGCCTTTCAGGAGATGGCTCATGAGAAATGGAATTTCTCTGATAGAAATTCCTTCCTATTCACCAGACCTCAATCCAATTGAAAATGTTTGGTCTCTGGTGAAAGACAAGCTTCATAAGCACTATCCTAAGCTGTTTCTCCTGAAGGGCCCAGTCAATGAGATCAAAAAAATTATAGAGGAGGCTATCACTCATTGTTGGAAACTTCTGGACTCAAAGGTTTTTAATACTTTGGCAGGATTAATGGTGGATAGGGTGGAAGCAATTATTAAGGCTGATGGATGGTATACTAAATATTAATTTCTACTATGTATTCATATTTTTTAATTTTCTTTTGGGTTTTCATGATAGTGGATTGGTGGTGGAGTGTGGTTGTCATCACTGAACATTTTCCGGCCGTTGACAGCTAGTTAATTTTATTCCCGGACAATATTAAGCAAAAACGAGAATACCAGTATTGAGAAAGCTAGGATTGGGGTTTTATTTTATGAATCTGGGCACCTTCAGGGGTGGGATCCCTTGCCTTGCTTTCGAATTATCGACTTGGAGGGGGGCGCCAAGACTGATCGGGTAAGGTTAATGGTACTTATGACACCATCCTAATAACAGTTTAAGCTATGGAGAAACTAGGAAATATATTAGTAAGAATAAGAATAGGTAAGAAAAGATTTGATTATTATTTGAATAAACCCACATGCTAGCAGAGCCATGGATCCATACGATAGCAGTGAGGAGAAAGCTGTTTGGATTTTAGAGCACAGCGCTGAGGGCACAGAGAATGATACAAATATCGAGCTTGCAGACCACGAAGATAAGTTGGAGACAGAAGAAGGAGGCGAGGAAGGAAGTGGAATCCAAAGTGAGCACATGTGGCCCAAGGAGCATAGGACAATTCTTCCAAACACTTCAAACAGTGTGATCCAAACATGAAATTTGCTCCCTCTTCTACCCGTACCCCCATTTACCCCATACCAACATGCTTCTCCGCAGCATGTAAGAAGAGTATTTCTTCCTCCAGAGTTTCATAGTCAACCAGAATCCAACTTCTTTAGGTGTAACAAGTAAAGTCTGGACAAGGTTGGATAGTTCAAGGCACACCACTGTACTGGTGCAGGTCGGACAAACAAGGAGGTTCAGGGATTCCTGTGACGTGAAGTGATAAAGTGTTGTAATTTCCTAAGTACAGGTGTTCAGAGGAAAATACCAGATTGCTTGAAGAATCTAAACTACGGTGGGGGGGCATCCCTTAATATAACAAAAGAAATCTCAGGGTTAATAATCGAACCCTTGGTTCACAGTCACCACTCACGTTTCCACATTGTTCCTTTGGATTCGGTCACATAGTAACCTTATCCAATCGAGTATAACTCAGAAAGCCCTATGTTACAACCGATTTCAAACTAAACTCTGCATCCATTAATGTGCCGTGATACTAGCTCTCCTCCCATACGCCGAAGACCCTTGAGGCGTGTACTTGTTGTTCTGGTAGGGGGCCGGGTTTATTTGGGTAACACACGTGAAACCGGTCGACTTGTTCTTGTCCGTTCACAGAGCTGGCGGGTTCCCAAGTAGTCTCGTCATAACCTTTCCATTGAATAAGATAGCAGAGGCGGTTCCATGTAATTCGAGCATCTAGTACCTCATCTACCAGCCACTCCTCTTCTCTGTCAACCTCAACTGGTTGTGGTGGTGGTATGTGTTTC